ACAATGCAATACTTAGCGGCGGGCAGCTCAAGATCAACGCAGTACTTACTCTTCCCAAAGGTCCTCACACAAACGCTTCAGAATCTTCATTCCGTCACTGTAGTTTCGTTTTTTGTATTTTCCGTCGTCAAAATCCTCAATCGTGCCTTGGTAATACTCGGGCGGTAGAGCGTTACCGCCGAAGAGATGCGTCAAGTCTTCGATATCAGCATCGTCGCACTCGATAGCCTTTTCCGCGTCAGAGTTTTCGTCCCTCGAAAGATCCGGCGATGTTATAACCGTTTCAGCGTCTGAGATGCTAGCGTCTTCGCCTTCGAATAGTTTGTCCGTATAAGATTCGTTGTCTGACATGTTCGCTGGCTTGTAAATGATAGTAGCGCTTAGAAAAAGTCCATATGCGTTGTACTTAAGAAAGAAAAGAAAAAGAGAGACGGATGTGAACAAGAGCCAAACGCTGGGAGTCCATTTTAAGTAGGTTCCCTCCTAGCCACCATGTTTGGTGGGTTGACTGCCTTGCCCACGTCTTGGAAGCACCCGATTATCACCAGTCAACTGGGCAGCTAATGGCGCCTGCAGGTACAAAGCAGGTACTTGAAGATGGTGGAGACAGGCGCTGCGCACTGTCTGTTACGTTTTTAGTCCTAAAAGCGGCGCCAGATTTTGGGCACCACAGCCACAATAGGAGGTGGCATCTGCCACCAAAAGCGGTGCCAGAAAAGCCGTAAGGTGTTTTTAGTAAGTAAACTTCTTCTTAACTTTATTAAGTTTATTATACTTTTCTTTTAGTATATTATTATATTTATTAATAATTATTTAATTCTTTAGAAGCTTTTTATTTTTTTTTCTAAAATTATTAGTCTTTATATAAAGCTTATTTATTATTTCTTAGATTTTTACTTTATTATTAATAATAGGGTTATTAGGCCTAATTAATACTAATACCTAAGTTAGTACTAAAGTTAGTTTAATATTATTATCGTTAGAAGATATTATAAAGGTTTTTACTTAAGGTTATTAATATACTTATTAAATAGGACTTATTAAAATATAATAATAACTTATCTCTAAGTTATAGAGGGGTTTATTTCTTAGGTAAAGAGTAGTATTAACTATATATATAAGGTATAATAAGTAAAGTATAATTAATAAGGTAGTTATTAGATAATATTATACTTAATAATTAATTTATTACTTAGATTAATAAGTAAAGATCTAAACTACTAAGCTTAGAGGAGCTCCTTTTATATATATAAGTTTAGCTTTTTCCCTAAATACCTAGATTATTTAGCTTATGCTATAATCCTACTATTTCTTACTTACTTAGCTTATCTACTAATCCTAGTAATCCTCGTAGCTTATTAGATTACTATAATAAGCTACCTAGCCATTATATAACTTCTTATCTTAATCGGGTGCTAGTATACCTAACCCTAGTCTAACCTTACCTAGCCCCGTATATATACTATAGCGTTTATAACACTTAGCTATTTTCTAACTTATATATAGGCTAATACTACTACCGCTTTAACCTATGCCTAGGGTGTGCTAGGGTGTACTTAGGCCCTTAGGGTGTGCTTAGGTGTATTAGGGCGGTGTTTAGGGTGTGTAAAAGCATGTTAGTGGTGGAGATGCTTTAGGAGCCTTATTCTGCTACCTCGGTTAGAGCTGCCGTAAAATCCAAAATTAGGAAGAAACCTTTATAAGGATTCTTTTATGACTCCTTTATATAAATAGATAGGCACTCCTTTTAGTGCCTTTAGCTATTTTTAGATTTATATAGTATATTAGTTAGTTCTATAGAATAGGGGAGATAGCTTTAACTTATCCCGTCGCTGAGTAGACTTAGGCCTTCCGGTCGTTAGGTGGAAGGATACTATGCCTAGCATATTATATAGTGTATTTAAGCTGGCTTGCCTATGGCTGCGTCCCCCTCCTAGAGGGAATAGTAGATTATGCCTATCGGATTAGCTTTCATCCTAGGAAGGCCACTTACCGGTTCTAAGGTGGGCTGTGGCTGCGTGAGTATTAAGTGTGGATGGGGACCGTTCTATGATGTTATGGCTAGAGCCTAGAGAGGTAGGCTGTATATGGCTGCCGCGTATCCATTTAGGGCCATCCTACTATGTATAAGCTAAGTGTCTTATAAATTGATTCTATCTAAGACCTATTACCTAACCTGGTAAGCTTAGCGGGCTTATCTTCTACTGTCTATTCCCCTAGGATGCTTGCTTTTGTGTGGGTGGCAACAGGCCGTAGAGACGCCCGTTAAGGCTTCATCATATAGCTACAGCACTAACGTCTGGGGTGTACATCTCCTAGGGACGCCATTGACTGAGTTTCTCACTTGGGCAGACTCCGCGTTAGACCTTAGTCGCTGCCTCCTAGAAGTCTCATCCCCATCCCCGTCAACATCAACATCGACGTTATTACCTTCAATATCAACGAGGCGAAGAGTCTGACCTTGGCAGTCTAACCCTATCGGCGGCGGCCTCCTACATAAGTAGTTCTCGTTGCGCCCACCTGTTGTAAAGGCTGAACGGTCGTTCGTGTAAATATCTGCCTATCTACAAGGCCTGACCTTTAATGGTGCTCCCTGTGCCTCCGTCTCCAGACCTCCGCGCTTATGTAATTGCAAAATCGCTTATATAATAACTACCAAAATGGATCTAAACTATTAGTACTAAATGTCGGACGGCTGGGAGCCTAGAGGTCTGGTGGCCTTCTGGTGCAGCTCAAGCTCGCCTTCCGATGGTATCTCCAGGCCGTCTGTACTAACGCGAGGTTCGCCATCCTGAAAACCTTCTGCCCACCCGAGGATCTCCCGTTTATTCGATCGGTAACAATTCGGGATGTACTAGACGAGGCCTGTTTTGGCGATGAACAAGCTTGGGAGCCGGTATAAGCGGATAGGCAGATTATTTGGAGGAGACTTTAAAGATGTGCCGGAACCGCTTGTATCTTTGGAGGCAGGCGGTTGGCCTTGGGAGAGAGTTGGCCCTGGGAGAGATATGGGGGCTAGTCCTCTTAGGAGGGAGTTGGGGCTGGTCCTCCTAGGAGCTTCTTGGCCTTGGGGGGGGAGTTGGGGGCTGGCCCTCCTAGGAGAGAGTTGGCCTTGGGAGGGAATTGGAGGCTGGTCCTCCTAGGAGAAAGTTGGCGCACCTCCTAAGGCTAACTACCTTGCCTCCCAAGGCCAACTACCTTCTAGGATGGTGGGCCAAGAGCCTCCTGGGAGAATCTTGGGGCTGTGTTGTTGCCACTATGTCGTCATTATCTTTTTCGGCCTCCGTCCGTGCAGGGCTGCTAACTTTCATCCTTATCTCGCTTTCTAGTTCCAAATCTGGCGAGCAGTGATTTTTGGCGCCTTTGAACGCTCAATTTCGCCCCGAGGGCTTGTTTCCGCCTCCTGGTGTCTCTTTTCGCCGCCTGGTGTCTCTTTTCGCCTCCTAGTGTCTTCTTTCGGCGATAACTCACTGACAATGACATTACCAAGCACAACCTCCTCTCTCTCAGGACTGAAAGAGCTGCAGATGATACAGCAAGCTTCATGCCGTAGGGAGAATGACGAGGTGAGGCAGAACGAAACGGCAACCGTGTGAGAGGCACGCCTGGCTGCCTTCATTAGACCTTAGTCCGCATCCCGTAAGAAGCACTCTCGGTTAATGCCCTGATCTTGAGTTTTTTGGCTACCAAGTGACTCAGTCACTTTAGTACAAGTTGCCTGTATCCACAGTGGAGCTTTTACCGAATGTACCGATCCACTCGGTAACAGCCCCCTGTACATACAGGCTGCTACAGAAAATACCTGTACAGGCCACATAGAGCGCTGTAGGCAGCCTATACAGGCCATAGGGCGCTCCAGGTAC